GTAAATTTTGGCAAATGTTCTATAATGAACTGTTTCGCCTGTCTTTGTCCTGGTGAATTCCTTCACCATTCCAAAGATTTGTGAGCTACTCACTTCCTTCTTTCCTTCTAGCCGTTCTTGTTAGTCTTAGAGCAACGCTGCAGAAAAGTTCTGTCCAATGAATGGCATTGATGAGCCTTGTTTGGCCACTTCATCTGCTTTTTTTTTATTACTCTTATGACCCTCGTGTCTTGGTACCCAGGCTACCGTAACCTTGCTACGGTCTTCTAGTTAATTTAGGGCACACACAATCCCATACTAGCTTAGAATTAACCTCTACAGAATTGAGTGCCTTAAGCGCTACTTGACTATCTGTGAAGATGGCAACTTAACGAAACATTCTTTCCTGTCTTTCTATTTTTTTTTTTTCATCACACCCTCCGATGTTTTTGAGCCATTCGCGTACCAGGTAGTAGCATCTAGTACGGGTACACCTTTATCTTCCCTTTCTGGTATCTTAATTGTGAACTTATTGTTAAAGCTATATCTTGTAACTGTTGCATCGATAGGTTGCCCCATCACAATATCGGCTTTTAGGTCCTAGATTAGCTTTCTGTTATCAGCACCAAGCGTCTGGCTTATAGGTCGCTGACTAAGGATTAATCTGTGCATCACTGATCTGGCTTCGCTCTGTATAAAAATATGAAGTAGTGGTAGATTTAGCAGGCTTCCTTTGATGCAGTAGGAGTTTTTTTTATTGCTCCCGTAGTACACTAACATGTTAGTCTTTGTGTATTACCTAGCAGACTTATTGCTCCTACTTGCTACGTCTTTGTCCATCACGTCACCGAGCAATAGGTTCTTGTCATTGGTCTATTAACTATTGTGTACAACTATAGAGTCATTTTGGGGTTAAGTCCCCAATTCTTACCGCACATTCTTCTACATCTGCCCAGTGACTTAGTAGCTTTCTGTGTGGTTTTCAGAATGTGAGTATTCCGTGTAAGCCTATGATCAAAATACACACCAAGGTATTTTGTTTCTTTGGCAAATGAAATCTCTGTTCCACCCAGCACCGGTGGTTTTAGGCCTTGTAGTGCTGTTTTCTTGGTGAAGTTGACGATTTGTGTTTTCTGAGCATTGACTATCAGTTTACCCTCTTGACTCTCTTGTTTACACCAGTCATTAACTATATTTAGGGCTGCTTGCATTCTCTCAAAAATCACCTGAGCAAACCTGCCCCCGACAATGAGGCTGTATAATGATGTAATAGTTATTAAGGTCAGTAAAGTAACCGAACGAGCCAGAGATTATGAGCCAGGGGAATAAAATGGATAAGAGAAGTAAAAAGTGACAAAAAATAAATCATTTCAAGTAATTTTCTTTTTCCATTTGTCACGATTATTGCGAATTGAAATTATTTAAATTAATAGTAAAGCAAGTTCTTCTAGAAACTTCTGCGCTCATAGCTAAACAATATTTCCATATAAAAATGGCCATTATCTATTAGAATTATCAGGCAATGGTAGATGTCAATTTGGCCCGCATATGTTCCCACCTATTAATTATATTTTACAATGAACACAAAAGATGTAAGTAATCATACCAAAAGCTTTTTATACAAACTACCCACATAATCGCAAAAATTAACTTTTTATGATTTCAAAGTGAACAGTGAAAGTATTTGGAAATTTTAAAACAAATTTTGAGTATGAATTAGATATAAATGAAATGTTTTATGGTAATTCAATATCGGTTACCTAATACTGACGAAATTAGTCAAAAACGAATGTATAGTTTGTTAGTAAATTGCGTCCATATTAGTCCTAATCATGACCGGTATTTGGTAACAGTACTATTTTATTTAGCTATTAGGAAATTTGGAATTCATTTTAAATTGAAGCAAAATAACAGCCAACAAGATACTTTTCAAGACTTCAATAAGTTAACTCATATAATGAAAAATAGCATAAATTATCAAAAAATTTCCTATATATACAAAATGATTGTAAATAAAGTTTTATTTTTCAATGCGACAATCTTTTTAGAATAAAAAAAAGTAATTGAATGAAATAAAATAAAATTCAGATAACCTGCAAAATAGTATCGTTTATTTTTATCATTAATCGTTTACCACACTTTGACAGAGGCGTAGAGTTGTGTTATAGAGTTAGCGCCTTTTATCGGAACGACGACATCGATCGTCATAGAGAGGAGATGGTTCTTGATAACTGGTCCTGGTCCTAATAAGACAACTCTCACTTATCGCAGTTCTCTGCTTATGGCTCCACGTGCACCACCCCGGGCAACTACATTGGTCTGCAAGCTAAACTAATTGAGGGTAGCCAGATATGGTGAAAATTCCACCGAGCGATTGCCGGTATAAACAATCCCCCACTTAGTGACCAACGGCTTCGGGCAGATAAGATTGATAATGCTTAAAGACAGGATATATTTTCGCGATTTTACCAATTACGTAGACATGCTCAAGATTAAGTGAGCGGAATGCGCGGAAGAAAATCTTAAAGATAGGCAAAGCCTGACACCAGAGAAAATGGAAGGCAGAAGGTCTTTTTCTAGGAAACATTTTTTAAAATATTCTACTGGACATCCGACAGAAGTTTGTTAAAGCGTGTACTTAAGCCCCTATGACATTTCTATTAAAAATATAACAGTGATTGTAAAGAAAAAATGGCCCACAGTCAGGTATGCCCATTAAATGAAAGAGGAATGCATAAAAACCAACCCAAAATTTCTAAACAGTTGAAAGATATTGTTCGCGATCACATAATAAGTCTTCCAGGATATACCAGCCATTATTCCCGTGAAAAATCTTCTAGGCATTATCTTAGCCCCGATTTAAATATTTCAAGTATGTGTAGACTTTATACTGAAAACTGCAGAGAAATTAAAGTTGCTTCGCTCAAAGAATTTTAGTACAGAAAAATATTTAATAAAGAATTCAATCATACTTTACATCATCCTGCAAATGATTCATGAGCAGCAGCACTGAACATGACCGTCGCTAGCACCTATTTTAAACATAAGGATATACACAAGGTAACTTGGACCTACCCTGATGGAAGAACAACTAGGCAGATTGATCACATCTTAATAGATTCAAGACACGGAACGAACATAATGAACTACAGAAGTTATAGAGGCGCAAACATAGACTCAGACCACTGTTTAGTGATCTTAACACTAAGAGCCAGAATTTCAAATTCCAACAAAGAAAAAGAAATAGATACAAAGAAATGAAATGTACAGAAGATGAGAGTTGCAACTGCTGCAAAACAGTACTGGGAAAATATTACCAATAGATTAAGAAATCAAAGTCCAAGAGAAGAAGACCAGAGATATATAGACTCCTACTGAAACACAATAAAGGAAGATATTGAGTCAGCAGCACAAGATGAAATAGAAACAGAAACTTGTATCCGAAAAAATTACTGGTTTGACGATGAATGCAAAGACGCAACACAGAAAAAAAATGAAGCTTATGCAAAAATGCTTACCCGCCAAACTAGAACAAATGTAGAGAATTACCAGACAAAGAGAAGAGAAGAAAAGAAAATACACAGAATGAAGAAACGAAACCACTTAAAAAAGGAACTTCAATATATAGAAAACCTCAGCAGAGAGAAAGAAAATTTCTTCTGTGTTGATTTGACTTGCATAAAACCAAATTGTTTACCGTAAATTTCGGCTTGATTAAGATATTTGATTATTCATACTAAAAACTCATCGTAAAGATCATAAATAATCGGAATGAGGTCTTAAAATCTACTTTTAAAGTAAGTTACTCTTATTTTAACACTTTGTTGCTTCCATCTATTTATTTTAAACTAATGTGCTTTTGCATACCTTGAAATAAAACCTTATATGAATATAACTAGCATAAAAGCGATGTAATGAAGACTTGTTATGAGATCGAAGTTCCGCTAGCTGGCATCCTTGAACTTGAGCAAAAATTTATATAGGAACGAAGGTGCATACTAACAACGTCTGCACACGTTAAGACTTTAAATACTATTGTATTCATAATGTAACAGAAGACATATTTGACCGCAATTTTTTTAATGGTGTCTCTCATTGAATGCTGTTACTGAAAGTGTCACTCGATTTGTTTTATTGTTAACATCGAGACAGGAGGTTTAGTAATATGTAGATGGATATAGTTATTTTCTATTTGTTTTCTAACAATTAGGAGCACTAGATTGAAATTTTCACCGATTTAAAAAGTAAATATTGTTTTGAAGCTATTATCAATACGAAAACTACTGTGTTCTTCTAAAGTTTTCAACTGTTTCTTCATTTGTTAGGCTGTTTGTTCGGGCTGTTAGGTCGTTGTCTTCTGAGATTAGATCTCGACGTTTCGCCAACACTAGGGATTGGCATCTTCTGGAGATGTTACTGCTTCGCTTGTAAGATAAAACTGACACGCCGCGTTGTACTACAGAGGCAATATTTATATTTTCTACTCGCCTCCCCTCCACTGGTTTCGGCGTGAGGGGCGTGTTGTCGTTTGTATAAAGACGTAAGTAAGAAGATGTGCCTCTACGCCCTATTGTGAGCTCCATAGGATCTCCTTCTGACAGCCTTGCTAAACATCTGGCCGATATTTTACAACCACATATAGGAAAAAACGATGCCTTTGTAAAAGACTCCGACCATTTTACCGAAAAGATCAAAGGAATAATTTAACAGGAATCTGACATTCTTGTAAGCTTTGATGCTGTTTCCCTATTTACAAGAGTTTTCCTAGAAGACGTTCTGCATTTAATTGAGGGGCTGGTTTCCAAGGATATGGTGCAATTATACCGTATTTGTTCACTACCACCTACTTTTCATGGGAAGACCAGATTTATGAACAGATAGATGGAGTAGCAATGGGAAGCCCACTAAGCCCGGTTGTAGCTAACCTTTTCATGGAGCATCTAAAGAAGAAGGTAACGGACTCGGTATGAATGGTAGAGTATGAACAAGACGAAAATAGGGCCGGGACGCAGAAAGTGATCATGAAAGGAGGCGAAAAATTGTACACCGAGTTGCTGAAACAAGGAAAGGGTATTGTAGACACGTTGAAGGAGGGGATTAGTGTCAAAAGAGCTAAAAAGACCAGGGGTGAAGACCGGGGTTATCAGGTTCAAGTGGACATATTTAACTTAGAGGGAGATGTCACAAAGGAAGAAATTCTAATGCAGGTCCGGAGATATACCGGTAGCAGGTGGACTAATGACGTCAAACTCGTTTCTATAAGGGAAAATGAAGACGAAGATACAAACGTCATGGTCGGACTGATGCGGATCGCAGCCAAGAAAGCACTGGAAAAAGAACACATACCCATCGGCTGGAACTCTTGCCAGATACAAGAGAGAGACTGCATATCCAGAGGTGCTTTAGATGCCTGCAGTTCGGGCATAGTAAAATAACTGCAAGGGAGAAAACAGAGCAGATTGCTGCTACAGATGTGGCAAAGAGGGGCATCAAGCACAAGAATGTAGTAATCAGGAGGTTTTTTGCCTCACTTATAAAGAATCCGGGCACTAAGCCGACAGCTTACGATGTACGGAGTATAGAAAACTCATCCTGGAAAACGGAAGGTCAAGACAGACCCTATCAGAAGGGAGGAGGAAAGAGTATGTGAAAGCACTTAGGACCAGGAATCACACATGATCCTATTTCAGAAGCCCAACGTAAAGTTGGTCTCTTGACAGGAGATAGGCACACAGTTTCGAAGAGGTCGAAACATTCAAATATTTGGCAGCACTAGTCAACAGAAAAATAATAGTGTATATATATATATATATATATATATATATATATATATATATATATATGCTTCATCTAATTTACATTCCGATGCACGTCATTATCTAGGTCAGAGATCGAAGTTGACATAGTTGCCATAGTATAAAAAAATCCTGACCCCATTTTAAATAAAATAGATCACATAATTATTGCAAAAGTATTACCATATCTTTACAACGACCATTTAAGTTCTTACGATACATTTTTGACATAAAACACACTAATTTTGTTCTAAAATAAACCGTTTTTATTAAATAGGTAAAAATATAAAACAAGAGGTATTCACTTTAAAATTCAAAATAATAAAGTACAAAAAGTGTCAACACCGCAACTGTCAAATAAGTGTTACCAATTTATGCCAAAATTTCACCTTCGTTCGATTACAGTTACAGTGTGTTCCGAACAAGTGTTCTTCATAAAAATGCTTTATAATGCATTTATACAAATTAAATGAAACATATTATTGTGTATTTCTTTAAGTTAGCGTTAATAGAAATCTTTAAATATTATTTCTACGCGTATATAATAAAAAATGTCTAGTGGCTGTAATGCCAGTGTACTCGGCAAACTGATTCTAAAAAAGAACACACCTACCTTAAATATTTCGTGTTGGTATCGTGTGACGTCACGGGCTATGACGCCGATGACGTACATCGGTATGTAAATTAGATGAAGTGTATAAAAGATATCAATCATACAGCGTTTTATAGACATAAAAAAATGTTAAGAGATAAGAATATAAGCCGAAAATCTACAAAACGACCATAAGACCAATAGTAGTATTTGCTGCAGAAGATTTATATTAACAGCAAGAGAAGAAGAGCAATTAAAAGTTTATGAGGAGAAGATTATCAGAAAAATATTGGGATCAAAGAGGGAAAACGAAAAAGATGCAAGACAATGGATGAATCACGAAATACAAGAATGGATTGATCAAGAGAACATAGTTAAAGCAATAAAAGCACAAAGAACTAGATGGTATGGACACATAAGAAGAGCGAAGAGCAATCCGTTAACGAGTAAAAGAATACATAGGAAGTAAAGAAGTTAAAAATATAGAAAGAACAAACAAAGAGAGAGAAGAATGAAGGAAAGTATTAAAAACAGCGAAGTCACACCAGAAATTGTACAACCAAACCCAGAATGGGATGAGGGTTAGAAAAGAGAAAAGAAGAAAGAAAGGTGCCTTAGAAGGCACCTTAATAAGCCTAGAGAAAGTTGTAAACTACAACATTGCAGGTAACTTTAAGTTGAATCATACACGCTGACAACCTTACATTTTCACTAAACCCCAAAACTTTTCTTAAACATTGAAACAGTTTAAAAATAGACCAGTCAAACTATTGAAATTTATTTTATATATAATGAGATTTGAACACTCAGAAGAAGAAGGTTTTAGTCAACTTTTAAGAGATTAGACAGATTTTCCAATAATCCACTAATTTGTCTATTAAATACTAATTAAATTTTCTTGTTCTCTCGGTATTACAACAACAAAAATATATTTTTCCAAAGGGTAAAAGTAACATGAGTCGCTCGATACAATTGTGTTAGTACACCAATGCTACCTGTGGTAGTCAATGATATATTTTTTTGTAGTTATTGTTCGTTATTGTTCAAAGAGAGATAAAGAGGATAGAACTAAGAAAGAAAGACGACCTTCTACAGGAAGTACAGAAAAGTATGCCCTCTATTCGTAACTGAACATCACAAGAAATATGGGAGACTGTTAAACATTGCGTAACAACACCAGTGGATCGCTCAAAGTAAAATAATCCGGTGAAACGGAAACACTGGATAACAGATGCAACTCTTAAAATAATTGAGAATAGAAGAAATCTTTGTAAAAGTGGTGTACATAGTGAAAGGAAAAGAGCCAGTTTAAGAAACCTCAATAAAAAAAATAAAACGAAGATGTAAGGACGACAAAAAACATTACTATCAAAGTATATACAAAGAAATTGAGAGACATGGTCAGAATAATCAGCCGAGATATCTATTTAGAAAAATACGCTACCTGACAAGAGACTTCAGAGCCAGAACTTGGGCCATTGAAGATAACACTGGAACCCTGAGAACAAACAGAGAAGACATAGCAGAGACATGGAGATCGTATTGCAGGGACCTATATAAAGATGATCAACGCCAAGAGCTTGTTAGCAAAATCTCTGACGAGGTGGAAGAAGAACCTGATATTTTCGAAAATGAAGTAAGACAGGCTATCAACAAGCTCAAATATAACAAAGCACCAGGTCCAGATATGATAACAGCATAAATGCTTAAAGCCACAGAAGAAACTGGCGTAAAGTTACTTCATCTACTCTGTAACCAAATATGGCATTCCAAACAATGGCCTGAAGACTGGACAAAATCTACAATAACGAACATACATAAAAAAGGCAGCTTCCATAAATGTGACAATTATAGAACTATCTCTCTTATATTCCATGCCATCAAAATAATGCTACATATAATCAATAAGAGACTGAAAATATTCCTTCAAAGAGAAATTCCACAAGAGCAAACTGGATTTGCCAAAGGTAGAGGCATTCGAGAACACCTGCTGAATATAAGACAGATAATTGACAAATCTAGGGAATTCAACATCCCACTATACATCTGTTTTATAGATTATCGTAAAGCGTTCGACAGAGTCAAGTGGAGACACTTATGGCGAATACTAAAAGAAGTAGGCGTACCACAACATCTAATTACGCTTATAACTGAACTATATGAACACACTACTGGATTAGTTAAGGTACTTGACACACTTTCGAACGAGTTTCATCCAGAACGGGGTGTCAGACAAGGATGTATACTATCTCCACAATTATTCAACATATATGGGGAGTATATTATGCGAAGAGCACTTGAAGGATGGGAAAAGGACATCTTAATAAATGGTCATAAACTAAACAACCTACGTTTCGCAGATGACACAGCCCTTCTTGCAAATAGTCAAGCAGAGCTGATGGAACTTATACGACTGATCGAAAACGGAAGTCAAATATTTGGTCTGCAATTAAACATATCAAAGACAAAGATCATGATAGTGGATAGACTACACAACAATCATCCACACATAACCACAATTGACCGGTTCGAGGTTGTGAGCTCATACTTATATCTGGGATCATTAATCACAAACACAAAAGTTGCCACAGCAAAAATGACCAAAATATGGAAGGACTGTCAAATTTCAATAGCGATAAAGATGAGGTTGATCAACTGCTTAATATTTCCAATACTGACCTACGGATGTGAATCTTGGACTCTGAGACAATCGGAGAGAAGAAAGATAGACGCCACTGAAATATTCTGTTGAAGACGAATGTTACGAATTCCTTGGACCGACTGTAGAACAAATAATTCAATTTTAAGAGAGCTAAAAGTTAGCCAACGACTCTCTAGTAAAGTCCATCTCCAACAATTAAAATATTTTGGGCATGTTATGAGAGCAAACACAGAAAACATGGAAAGACTCATAATACAAGGAAAGGTAGAAGGCCGAAGATCACGAGGAAGATCCCCAACAAGATGGATAGATCAAATTACAGGAATATGCCAAAGACTTATGCATGAATTAAAAGAAATGACCAGAGACAGAGATCTCTGGAGACGGACAATACACGACATCACGTCGACCACTACACTCCCCCTGGGGGGTCAGGATTGAAGAGAGAGATTCATTATATTATAAAAACACTGATGAGTTATTCTACAAAGGCATCATTCATACATACCCTGTCTAACCTTTATGGAAGTAAGACTATTGATTTTATTTGTTATAATTTTTATTGTAAAGTTTAATGTGCCTCCAACTAAGTTTATGTCTCTATAATTCATGTTAATCTATATTTTTTGTTGCTAATTTCCACAAACTTTAGGCAAGAACTTGTTTTTTAAGTTTTTGTTTATAATTAATTTAAATTGATAATTGTTAGGTTGTTGTGTCTGCAATACGTATGAAAAGTTTTTTGACTCTTAATGATAATTATCTTTAATAATACGGGCAGTTATAATAATTTTGACGGTATGTCATGCAGGTGTCAACTTAAATTGTTCAAAAATACCCATAGAATAATAATAAATTAGCTTTAATCAAGCAATAACGATGAAACAAATTGCATAATGATTATTAACAACACAAAAAAGAAACTAATTACATGATCTTAACACAGAAAACCAAAACAATGGTAATCATCAAAGGCCTAACTGGCTGTAAATTAAAAATCAATGGTGTCAGTATTATAATAACAAGTATATATAAAATAATGAGAATGTATGCGATTACTAGTATAATAGGGACAAGATAAAAAATGTTGGCAAAACTTGCTACGTAAATACTAAAGAAACTACATAAAAGGTAGAAGCTAACTGTAAATACATATTTGTGACTATTTGGTTATCATCAGTACGATGCCGCCAAGTTAAAAAAGAAGCAAATTGGGAGAGCATATACAAGAACCATGCGACTAATTGTGGTATTACTGTCAAAAGTCCTTGCATTCCAGCCTGATGTCAATAGGGTCTTCTGACAATACTGGGTCTTAGGTTTAACTAGCTTCCTGTGTGGCTGTTTTACAGAATCAGCAGGCTGGAATGTAAGACTTCTAATAGT